CAGGGAAGTTCGGGAACCCGGAAACCTTCTCGCCCGGCCCCGGGCCCCCCAACCCCACTTCAACTGGCGGCAGGGTAAACCGGGGGCCCCCGCGGACCGGAGACGGGGTTTCGGGAGCAATGTTTTGGGCCCCTTTGTTTCCACGGCTCGGTGCGTGTTTTCCGGGGTACGTTGCCCTTCCTTCCGCCGTTCCTTCGGGGCCGCGGGGTTTGGCGGGCCGGGGTTTGCCGGGGGCGCTTCCGGAGCCTCCCCCAGCCGCCGTTCCTCGGGGCCCGCACCCGCCCTCCCCGGGGAAGGGCTCCCCGGGGCGGGTTCCGGTTTCCCCGCTGAAGCCAGTGCCGCCGCCCTGTCTTCCTCCCCTCTTCTCAGGTCGCCAAGCGCCCTTCGGAGCCCCAGAGGCCCGGGCACAGTGAAAGGTGACCCCCGTGGGCAAGGAAGGCGACGGCCCCTGTGGACGACGATGGCCGGCGGCCCCGCTCCCCGGCCCGCACCCCAGCGGCCGCCCTGTGGCTCCTGTGTGCGCTCGGCCTCGCGGGCACCGACGCCGGGCCGCCGCCCACGCCCCCCGCGCTGCCCGCCGGAGCCGCCTGCCTGGACCGCTTCACCCCCGGGGTGCCCTCCTTCGTGCTCGACACCGACGCCTCGGTCAGCAACGGGGCCACCTTCCTGGGCTCGCCCCGCCGTGCGCCGCGGCCGGGACTGCGTGCGCGCCTGCTGCACCACCCCCGGCTGCAACCTGGCCCTGGTGGAGCTGCAGCCCGCCGGCGGGGAGGACGCCGCCGCCGCCTGCTTCCTCGTCAACTGCCTCTACGAGCAGAACTTTGTGTGCAAGTTCGCGCCCAAGGAGGGCTTCGTCAACTACCTCACCAGGGAGGTTTACCGCTCCTACCGCGAGCTGCGGACTCAGGGCTTTGGAGGTGAGACGGGGGTGCGGCGATGGGTGGATTTAGGGAGACCCCTAAAAAGAGATGGCTGTGGAGTCCTGGAAGAGGCGAGCTGCAGGAAGGGGTTACTGAGAAGGGTCCCACTCTACCCCCGTTCCTCCTTAGACGTAGGCAGAATACACAGTAAACAGAGGACAGGCTTGGTGAGGGAGGAGGGGTGACATCGCGAAGCCCGGACTCGCTCCTGAATGGAGGGTGGTGTCGAATGGGCTGGCGCTCTGGGCTGTGTGTATGGGTGGAGGAGGCAGCTCCCCGGGATTCTTGGTTTCTGGCCCTGATGTGCTGCTGAGGCAGGGAGTGAGGTGCCTGGAGGCCGCCTCATGACTAGCGGGCACCCCCCGGGCCAGGCATCGCCAGGCCTGAGGCACCAAGTGCGCCTGATGGAGGAGAGAATCCTCCTCCACGGATGGGCTGGGGACTGGTTAGCATCTCTGCACCCCGCCCCCCACCTGTTGGCCTTTGGTGGTCTGGGGGAAACTGCTGACCCCAGACACTTAAGAACAAGTCTAGCCTGGGGTTGACCCAAAAAGGGAGGGGGAGGGGGCATAGCAGCCAGAGGCTCTGGGGTGGGAGTGAGAAGGGTGTGGGTGAGTCAGTTCATCAGTATGTATACCTGGTAGGGCAGGGATGTCAGCTGTCCCGGCAGGTGTGTGTGTGCGTGTGAGCCAGGCAGGGCTCCCTCTCCCTGCCTCAGGATCTGGTACCAAGCCTTCTGCTCACCTTGTTTACTTCCGGGGATCAGGGAAAAGTGGGGGCCAGGGCTCCTCCTCTTTTCTCCTGCGACTGAGCAATTAGCTGAGATGAGGGCCCCTCCAGAGACCTTTGTTCCCCATCTCTCCACCTGCTGTTCTGGCCAGGCGGGGCTCCAGGGCAGGGATGGGTCACAGCTGATAACCTCTGTGAGCACTTTACAGCTTCTGATTGCTGTACCATTCACCCTCATCCTGAGCCTCATGACAGCCACCTCTGAAAGGGGGCTATGCGTGGTCATCCCACCTTTCAGATTAGGAAACTGACTCCCATGATGAATAATTGGCCCATAAATGGTAGACCTGGGGCTCAACCCCAGGCAGGACCTCCAAACGCCTGTGCTGTTTTTCACACAAGACCACCTTCTGCAAGAGACCTGCCTCTGATTCAAGACAGCCCAGGGGGTAACCCGGTCCGAGCCCAAGGAAGGGCTGAGTCTGGGGGTGACCTCAGTTCTGCAAAGTGGAGAAGAGACTGTCTTCTCCAGCCCTTTTCTGGACTAGTCTCTCTTCAGGTTAAGGGCCCACTCTTCTCCCTGTCCTTCAAGGAGCTCTCCTGGGTCTCTGGGATGGGGATTCCAGGAGGGGGCACCGTCTCTGGGCCAGGACCTGAGCCTGTTCCACAAGGAAGTGGCAGAGTGTAGGTGGTGATGACGCTAATTGACCTGAGCTGCTGGTGCCCTTCCTGCAGCTGACAGTGGCAACCCTGGGAGTCCCACTCCAAGGCCTGTGCCTGAAACTCTGGAGTCTGGTCAGAGAGCTGAGCTGGACCGGGCCACATGGTCTTGGAACCAGCCGTCCTCATCTGGAAACTTTCCCACCCCAAACAAGGCAGGATGGGATGGGAATTTCTGTGGCACTGAGGGAGCTGGGTAGGGCTTGGACTGGGTGTGAGCTCCAGGCCATTTTCAGGGTGTTGCAGTGCTTTGGGGAGTGGGGAAAGCTGTGTGGTGTCAAGGAACCCATTCTCAGCTGAGTCCAGTTAGAGAGACTGGAGGTGGGTAAGGGCAGGATAAAGCCATTTTGTCAGGCAAGATGGGCAGGTGCTTAGGACTTGTAAACCTTTGATTCTTGTGTGAGGTAGAGAAATCCTCCCCGATGGGTTTGTTTGTTCCCCTTTCCTTGCCTGTGGCCGGGCCGGGCCAGTCCAGTCCAGATTCCTGTGGCCTCCAGAGCACCTCGCTCCTTCCTCTTCTGCCTTCTCCCCCCTTTCCCTTGGAGGAGTGGCTTAGGAGGTGGAGTCTGTATTTGCCTGGAGACATCCTGGGGCAGGCAGCTGAGGGAAGGGCTGGCTTTATTACCACTCTGGCCCTTTGCTCTCTTGGGGGTGGGAAGGAGGGAGTGGTAGGACCGGTCACCTGCCCCTTGCTCCTGGGCACTGGGGCTTGGAGACAAGCAGCTGTGTGGGGGTGGACATGGCTGATTTGGCCCGAAGTCTGACACATCACTCTGCCTGCCACTTCCACCTTGGGTGCCGGTGGGGCTAGCCTGTCTGTCTGCTACGTAGACTGCCAAGTACTCCGTCTTCTTTCCCTTTTAAACTATTTTTTTTAAATATACTTTATTGATTTTTTACAGAGAGGAAGGGAGAGAGATAGAGTCAGAAACATCGATGAGAGAGACACATCGATCAGCTGCCTCCTGCACATCTCCTACTGGGGATGTGCCCGCAACCCAAGTACATGCCCTTGACCGGAATCGAACCTGGGACCCTTCAGTCCGCAGGCCGACGCTCTATCCACCGAGCCAAACCGGTTTCGGCTTCTTTCCCTTTTAGATAGCTGATTTCTTACTGAGAAATGCAAGGAGGGAGGAAGGGCCTCCTCCCAGTCACTGCCCCCTTCGCTTTGTCTCTCAGAGGTCACCTCTGAAGTGTCCCTGGGACTCAGACTCAAGCCAGCTGTTACTATTTCTTTACCTTATCTTCTTCCTTCCAACTCCCTCTTACATTGGACATGCCCTCTGCAGATCCTCTGTGGAGGGCAGTTTGGCAGTATCCACAAAACCTGTAAATGCATATTACCCACAGCACAATTCCACTTGTAGGAATTCATGCTGTGGCTATATTATGCATGTGTAGCACAACTTACCAGCCAGGTGTTCCCTGTAGCATTGTTTATAATAGCAAGAATGGGAAAGGTCACAATGTCTGCCAACACATCCTGTAATTGGAAACAGTGGTGATATATTAATAATAGTAATAATAGCCCTAACCGGTTTGGCTCAGTGGCTACAGCGTCGGCCTGCGGACTGAAGGGTCTCAGGTTCGATTCCGGTCAAGGGCATGTACCTTGGTTGCGGGAACATCCCCAGTAGGGGATGTGCAGGAGGTAGCTGATTGATGTTTCTAACTCTCTATCCTTCTCCCTTCCTCTCTGTAAAAAAATCAATAAAATATATATATATATATATATTTTTTTAATATATTTTATTATTTTTTCCAGAGAGGAAGGGAGAGAGATAGAGAGTTAGAAACATCGATGAGAGAGAAACATCGATCAGCTGCCTCCTGCACATCTCCTACTGGGGATGTGCCCGCAACCCAAGGTACATGCCCTTGACCAGAATCGAATCTGGGACCTTTCAGTCCGCAGGCCGACGCTCTATCCACTGAGCCAAACCGGTTTCGGCAATAAAATATATTTTTAAAAAATGATAGTAATAAATCCTGAGGCAGCATGGCTTAGTTGTTAGTAGAGAAGGAAGGTAAGGAGGGAACACTAAATCAAGAGGAGACTGGTGGACTGGTTAAATAAGTTGTAAATTATGGTGTATTTATACGAGTATGTGCAACTAAAAAAACAACTGTGTTGCATGCTTATGAGTTCAATACTATCTCTGTTGATAGTCACACACACACAAACTAGCAAGAGTAGATGTCTCTGGAAAGAACCTGGGGGTTTAAGAGAAGAGGGAACTTAATTCTCACTATCCTTTTGTACTTTTGAATTTTACGTCATGTACCTATATTACCTAAACTAAAAACAAAAATCCCAAGATTATAAAAGCAATCAAAAGTACACCTGTAAGCAAATGAGTGGCCTGCAACATGGCATTTTGGAGAAAGAATAAGCTATGGAATCAGATAGAACACCCCAGCTCTGCCATATAGAAACTGAACAACCCTGGCAAGTCATTTAACCTCTCTGGTGCCAATTTTCTCCTCTGGAAGGAGGGGTAAGAATGCAGTTGTAGCCCATCTGTCATGGCTCAGTGGTTGAGCGTCAACCTATGAACCAGATCATGGTTTGATTCCCAGTCAGGGCACATGCCCAAGTTGCGGGCTCAATCCCGAGTAAGGGGTGTGCAGGAGGCAGCTGATCAATGATTCTCTCTCATCATTGATGTTTCTATCTCTCCCTTTCCCTTATTCTCTGAAATCAGTAAAAATATATTTTAAAAAAAGAATGTGGTTGTAGCAGGTTGTTTAGGGAGGTAGGTGATATAGATCAGGGGTGAGCAAACTTTCTATAAATTTTCAAATAGTAAATATTTTATGCTTTGTGGACCATACAGTCTCTGTTGCAATATTCAGCTCTGCTGTGGTAAGGTGAAAGCAGCCGTCCACAATATGTAACCAAATAGGCGAGGCTGGTTCGGACACAAATTTGAATTTGATGTACTTTTCACGTCACAGAATATTATTCTTTTTATTTTTTTTCAACCATTTGAAAATATACTAGGTGGTGGGCTGGATTTGGTCTGCAGGCCTCGTTTGCTTACTCGTGTTGTAGGTGAGGCGGGTGAAGTACCCAGCGTGGTGCTGAGGACACATCCAACAAGTGGCAGCTTTGTTAATACGTATGACTCCACATCTGTTTCCAACCCTGGCCTCCCTGGAGCTCCCACTGCGTACCTCCCCTCTGGAGGGTCCTACCTCCCTCAAATTTAAATTCTCTGTGACCAAAGGCACACATTTCCTCTATATCTGATTTCCCTTCTGCCTTAGCCCTTCCTCCCCATCTCCCAGCCCCTGTCAGACACAGAAGCCTGAAGCATGTGCCCCGCATTGATGCTGACATCCTCCTTTCCATTCCCTTAGCTCTGCCTTAATTCAGGCCACTCTCGTTGCATCTGCCCTGCCCCACCCTACTGGTCCTCTTGCCAGCCTCCTTGTTCCATAGAAATAATTCCAGGCATAACCAGTGGACATAAGACACTGCGGGGTAGGGGAGGCCAGGGGATTGTCAAGGGCGGGGAAAAAATGGGGACATGTAATACTCTTTGTAATACTTTAAGCAATAAATAGATAGATAGATAGATAGATAGAAAGAAAGAAAGAAATAATTCCAGGCAGATGGTAAACAGGAGAGTCCCTGCTCCCCAGGTCCTTGGCCCTTGGCCCTGCCTTAGCTCTCTTGGGCCTCCATCATGCATCTAGAAGGTCAGTGTCTGCTGCGGCCAGGGCTTCTAGGATTCTAGACCCTCTCTCGCAGCCAGTGTCCCCTTCCTTTACCACCAGTTGTTAAACATTCAAATGTCACTCCTTCTGTGTCCACATGCCCTGGCCTACTATTCAGGGCCCTTTGAGGTCTGTCCAGGCCAGCTGGTCTCCTTAATGTCACAATACCAGCCTTGAGAATCCCCAGCTCCTTGCTTTGGCCCCTCATGTTTTCTTTTTTTAAACAGTTTTTTGTGTTTTGTTTTGTTTTTAATTGATTTCAGAGAGAGGGAGGGAGAGGGAGATAAAAACATCAATGATGAGAGAATCATCAATTGGTACCTCCTGCAGGCCCTCTACTGGGGATCGAGCCTGCAACCCGTGACCTCCTGGTTCATAGGTCAACACTCAACCACTGAGCCACCCTATCCAAGCCCCTCATATTTTCTGTTGTCATCAACAACCTAGCACATTCTTCCCCACAACCAAACAAATAAAAACAAAAATAAAAGAATCAATACATTCTTTCTCCCTCCTCCAAAAAGACTTTTCTTATTCTTCTAGTCTTTCAGAGCCTCTCCCTTCCTTGAATGTCTATCCACTTCCTTGTCCTGTATACATACTTCATATGGCTTCATCTTGTTCTGTCTTTTCTCCCGTGTAGCTTAGTGTGGTTGGGTCTTACCTGCCTAACTGGGCTGCAAGCCCTTCAAGGACAGTACTAATTTCCTGTGGCTGCTGTAACAACGTGTTACAAACTGGGTGTCTTAAAATCACAGAAATTTGTTGTCTCACAGTTCTGGAGGCCGGAAGTTCAAAATCAAGGTGCTGGCAGGGCCATGCTCCCTCTGACAACCCTAGAAGAGGGTCCATCTTCGCCTCTTCCAGTTTCTGGTGGCTCCAGGGCTTCCTTGGCTTGTGGCTGCCTAACTCCCGTCTCTGCCTTTGTCCTCACACAGCCTTTTCTGCCTTCATTACGTATTTTTCTCTCCTGTCTTTTTCTTTTCTTTTTTTAAGGTATACTAGAACAGGAACTGTTGTTGTTGTTTTTTTAATACATTTTTATTATTTTAGAGGGGAAGGGAGAGGGAGAGAGAGATAGAACCATCAATGATGAGAGAAAATCGTTGATCGGCTGCCTCCTGCATGCCCCTTATTGGGGATCAAGCCCGCAACCCAGCATGTGCCCCACCTGGGAATCAAACTGTGACCTCCTGGTTCATAGGTCGATGCTCAACCACTGAGCCACACCGGCCGGGCTACCCTCTCTTTTATAAAGACACTTGTCATTGGCTAATCCAGGATGATCTCATGTGGAAATGCTTAACTTGATTACTTCTGCAAAGACCCTTTTTCCAAATAAGTTCACATTTGTGAGTTCAGGAGGTTAGACATGGACTCTTTGGGGGGCCACCATTCAACCCACTCCAGGCAGGAATCCTGCTTTGTGCTTTGTTTCTCTCTCCAGCTCCTAACCAGAGACTGGGGGAGCCTCAGACACAGGCACTGTCAGGCTGAGGGAGGACATGGTTCCCTTGGGCCCTCATAACTGGAGGCAGGGTCTGTCTGAGGTGGCAGAGGCACCGTCTTCCTGTGGCCACTCTCCCTGGGACACCAGGACTTGTCACATTGCTGCCTGGGGACTCTGTGTGTAGGGTCTCTATCAGCAGAGGGGGTGATGGATGTTAATTCCACATTTACTTATTTGGCTTTTCAAAAATATTGTTGCTCTAACTTTTTTTAAAATATATTTTTATTGATTTCAGAGAGTAAGAGAGAAGGAGAGAAAGATAGAAACATCAATGATAAAAGAGAATCATTGATCAGCTGCCTCCTGTGTGCCCCACACTGGGGATCGAGCCTGCAACCCGGGCATGTGCCCTTGACCAGAATCGAACCCACGACCTTTCAGTCCACAGGCCAGTGCTCTATCCACTGAGCCAAGCTGACTAGGGCACTTTAACTTTTTTTTTTATATATATATTTTTATTGATTTTAGAGAGGAAGGGAGAGGGATAGAGAGATAGAAACATCAATGATGAGAATCATTGATTGGCTGCCTCCTGCACGCCCCCCACTGGGGATCGAGCCTGCAACCCAGGCATGTGCCCTCGGCCGGAATTGAACCTGGAACCCTTCAGTCTGCAGGCCGACGCTCTATCCACTGAGCCAAACCAGCTCGGGCGGCACACTTTTTAAAGCAGTTAGTACAAGACCTACTTAATGTAGAAGAGAGGACTAAACCTCCCCTGAAATTTTTTTTTTCCTAAATGGGATCAAATGGCACATGCTGTACAGTAATTTGCTTCAGAAAGTAAGTCTTACAACATAACGATGTCTTTAATATAAATAGAGAGCAAGATGGTGGTTTAGATGTGGGTCCCCACCTGTGCCCCATGCTGGTTGCTGAGTCCTAGGTTGGTCTAGGTGTGGCCCATATAGCTCCCCATCCCCAGGAAAGATCTGGTCCGTTCAGTGTGAGTTGACCTTACCTCACCTTCCCCCCAGGGTCCCGGATCCCCAAGATCTGGGCAGGCATAGACCTGAAGGTACAGCCCCAGGAACCCCTGCTGCTGAAGGGTGTGGAGAACACAGATTGGCACCTACTGCAGGGTGACCCGGACGTCAGGGTGGAGGTGAGACGTTGGTCTGGCTCCCTGATTCTACTCAGCTCTCCAGGGCCCCCTTTCCTTCTGGGGCCATAGGCCAAGGTGGATAGATGCTGAGGATACATGTAATAGCAAGTCCCTCTGTTCTCCCTGGGTGGTTGTGTGGCTGGGAGGGCCTGGAGGAGCCCAAGGGCATCAGGGGTCCCAGCCTAATGGCCACTCCTATGTATAGAGGAAAGATCCGGACCAGGTGGAACTATGGGGACTCAAGGAAGGCACCTACCTGTTCCAGCTGACATTGGACAGCTCAGACCAGCCAGAGAGCACGGCCAACGTCACAGTCACCGTTCTCTCCGCCAAGCAGACAGAAGGTGAGGGATCATCTAGGCAGCATCTAGAGCAGTGATGGCGAACCTATGACATGCGTGTCAGAGGTGACAGGTGAACTCATTTTTTTGGTTGATTTTTCTTTGTTAAATGGCATTTAAATATATGAAATAAATATCAAAAATATAAGTCTTTGTTTTACTATGGTTGCAAATATCAAAAAATTTCTATATGTGACACGGCACCAGAGTTAAGTTAGGGTTTTTCAAAATGCTGACACGCCGAGCTCAAAAGGTTCGCCATCACTGGTCTAGAGCCACCCCCATCTGTTGATTGGCCCCTTGGCCCCCCTCACAAGCTTTCCTCCCCACAGAATATTGCCTCGTAACCAAAAAGGTGGGCCGCTGCCGTGGTTCCTTCCCCCGCTGGTACTATGACCCCAAAGAACAGATCTGCAAGAGTTTTGTGTATGGAGGTTGCTTGGGCAACAAGAACAATTACCTTCGGGAGGAAGAGTGCAAGCTAGCCTGCCGTGATGTACAAGGTGGGCCTTTGCGTGGCAGCTTTGGGGATCAGGTGACTTTCCCTCAAGGTAGGTGGTCTCTCTTCACTAGTCAGAGAGGTGGGCATGAGAGTCCCCCGTTCCCAGGCCCCCAGCAGCTCATCCCTTCTGGGCCTGGCCCTGTCTCCTCTCACTTCTTGGTTTTTTCTTTCCCAGGTTCCTCCAAGGAAAGGCACCATCCAGGTAGGCTTTGCTCCTCTCCCTATTCCCCTCACTCCTGCCAGATCTCCAGCCCATATCATGTCCACGCCCTTGACCAAGCTGCTTTTGCCCAACCCACTCCTCCCCCCGTAGTGAGTGGACAGAGCACAAGCACCCCACCCCTTGCAGCCTAGCATCCTCCTATCAGGATCTGCCCAGTTCGTGTGAGGAAGGGTTCATGGGGGACAGGTGGGGAAATAGTGGACGTGTCATGATGCTATGTTGGGGCAGAGAGGGCCAGGTAGATGATGGACCCTCTGCAGGAGCGTGACCTCACCCCCCTCCCCATTCCTCCCCCACTCAGTGTGCTCTGACGCCTGTCCCTCCTCCGAGTTCCACTGCAGCAATGGCTGCTGCATCGACAGCTATTTGGAGTGTGACGGCACGCCCGACTGCTCTGACGCCTCCGACGAGGCCGCCTGTGATGAATGTAAGGCCTGGGAGGTGGAAGGGTGGTGGGTAGCACGGGGGGAGGTCCTGACAATTTACCCTGCATCCCTGGGAGACCATTGCTGGGGCTGTGCCTCTGATCTTTCATTGTTGCAGACACCAGCGGCTTTGAGGAGCTTCAGAACTTCCGTTTCCCCAGTGACAAAGGTGAGCCGCCCCCCCCCCCCCCCCGCCCAGATCCTCCTGGGGAGGGCAGATGCTGACACTACCAATCTCACTCATCCTATCACCGTGCGAAAAGGCCTGCTGTGTGTGCCAGGCTGTGGGCAGAAGAGCCAGGGTGGGCTTCCAGCTCTCTTCTTTGGCTGTTTCCCAAGCATAATCAGCCTCTTTTTTTATTTTTTATTATTTTATGTTTTTATTGATTTCAGAGAGGAAGGGAGAGAAAGAAAAAGAAACATCAATGATGAGAGAGGATCATTGATCGGTTGCCTCCTGTATGACCCCTACTGGGGATCAAGCCCACAACCTGGGCATGTGCCCTGACCAGGAATTGAACTGTGACCTCCCGGTTCATAGGTTGACACTCAACCACTGACCCACACCAGCCGGGCCATAGCCAGCCTCTTAACACCTTCAGAAATGTAGCCACGCCCACAGATCACAGAGAGAGTATTTACTTAATATTTTTATTATTCAATTATTCTTTTAATTTAATGTATTAAAAGGGAAATTTCACATCACTACCATAAATGGAAATTCACTATTACATACCAAAGCTTGAGACTGACTATTAAAATAAGTATAGTAAAACAACATTAATACATTGTAGCTGGACATGGGTGTCTGCCAAGGCTTAGGCCCTCAGCCGCTTTTGTTAAAAGGTAGACCATCAGGACTAGAGAGAAAACCAAGACTTTGACACAATCAGAAAAGCTGCAAGAAGATTGAAAAAGGAATAATTATGTGAGTCAGGGTAGTTACTTCTGTGCCTATGATTATTGTCCATGATAAGTCTTTCTTGCTTCTGGCAATACTGCAAATGGGCCCGATGTTTCTGGGGCCCCTGGCGCCCTCACGGAACCACAGCCTTCCTCAGTATGATGTGGATTGGGAGGTGGCGGGCAGCAGCGAGGTGGAGCCTGGTGTAGGGTAACAGGGAGGCCCCGTGGGCTTGCTCACTCCTTTGCCTGCTCCTCGCCTCCCAGGGCACTGCGTGGACCTGCCAGACACGGGCCTCTGCAAGGAGAACATCCCACGCTGGTACTACAACCCCTTCAGCGAACGCTGCGCCCGCTTTACCTATGGCGGTTGTTATGGCAACAAGAACAACTTTGAGGATGAGCAGCAGTGTCTTGAGTCCTGTCGTGGCATCTCCAGTGAGCAGGGCAGTGGGTGGATAGAAATTAGGGAGGGGAAAGGCTGAGCTAGAGCACTGTGCTCTGTCTGTCCCAAAGCCTGGGCTGGTCACACCGAGTCCTCAGAGCACCTGAAATGGGGGTGGGAGAGGATGGCAGTGGGGAGTCTGGGGCGCTGGGGAGCAACTGAGTATCAGCCCTTAATACTGACTTGTCTCTCCCCCATCATGTTGTAGAGAAGGATGTGTTTGGCCTGCGGCGGGAAGCCCCCATTCCCAACGTAGGTAAGTCCAGGTCTGCCCCGTTACCAATGAGTAGTATCAACTCCAGAATCGGCTCCACACGATGGGTTGTGACTGCCGACACCTGTGTTGAGAAGGACCCTGAGGTTGGCTAGAGGGACAGAGTGTCACAAGCTATCGTCGTAGCTACCATAGCAGGGGAGGCAAGCACAGTAGAGTGTGTAGGTGTTTGCTGTCAGTCCCAGGCCTTTCTCCGAGCTCCCTGCAAATAGAGCAACTTGGAGTTGAGACCCAGGGCCCCATCAGACAGAATCTGTCCCACTGAGCTCCCCATAGAGCCATTCAGCTGCTCATGTGCTGCAGATCCTTCCACATCTGGCATCCATTTGACTTGGTCCTCTCGATACAGAGTGGGGGGTGGGCATCAGAACTGAGCCGGTCCCAGGAGCTCTTCATTCTGTCCTGTCCCCCCAGGCTCCGCGGAAGTGGCCGTTGCGGTGTTCCTGGCCGCCTGCATCGTGGTGGTGGTAGCCATCCTGGGGTACTGCTTCTTCAAGAACCAGAAGAAGGGCTTCCACGGATACCGCCGCAGCCATCGCCACCCCCCGCCCCCGACCCCCGCCAGCTCCACGGTTTCCACCACAGAGGACACAGAGCACCTGGTCTATAACCACACTACCCAACCCCTCTGAGCCTGCGGCTACCTTGGCCCTTCGGCCTGGGGCTCTCACGGGCTCTCACCAGCTCTCACCTGACCCTGCTTCCTCCTTGCCAAGGAGGAGGCCTGGGCTGGGAAAGACTTTGGGACCAGACCCTTCCTGCCTGTTTCTCAGGCGTCTGCCTCAGAGGCCAGGGCTCTAGCCCCTGTCAGAGATGTCTCAGCTAAGCTCAGACCACTTGTTCCTGAGAAGGCTCCAGGGTCTGAAAGGAAAGAAAGCCTTGGAGCCAGGAGTCCCATAGATGGACCTGCTTACCTTGGATGTCAGAGGAAGTTGGAGGCCTGTTTCCTGTTCAAAGCTGCCTGCCCCACACCGAGGTGTTGGGAAGGGGACTGGGCAGCGTCAGAAGCTGGAGGCCCAACCCTGTCCTCCAGCGCTACCCCTCCCACTCTGACAGGCCAGAGCGGAGATAAGGACCTCCTATGAATTTTGCGCTGTACAGAGTTGCTTTTTGTTTATTTAATGCCATGGGGGTGGACGAGAGGAGTGGAAAGTGGCTATCTGGCCTCTGTTGCCTCTTCCCTTCCCCCAAGAGGGAGTCCCAACTTGGCCTGACCTAGCGCATGGAGCCAGAGCTGCTCCAAGCTTCCTGCACTCCCCAGGCCTCTCTGGCACCACACCCACTCCGCGCCCCTACTTTACACAGGCCCCAATGCACCCACAGTGTAATAAAGTGGTTTGTTCTGTGGGGCTTCTGCCTCTGCTCTGTGGGCCAGGAGAGGGACAGGGCTCCTGGGGGGAGATGTGACCGCCCAGTCCAACCGGTTCAGGCTTTGGCCACCCTGTTTAGCAGGTTTCCACCCTTCCCGAAACTGCACCAGCACCTGAGGGTGGAGAGAAGTGCCAAGTTTGACCACCAGAGGGGAGGAGTGAGAGGGCCATGGGAGGAGGGGGCCCAGGGAAGCAGCAATGCTGCTGTGTATTTCTTCCTGGTTTGATTCTGGCTGCAAGCCTGCTTCGTAGCTGGGGCAAGTCTTCACTGCAGTGTGTAGTTGAAGACAGGGAGGGTGGGCACAGACTCGAGCCCTGGTTCTTCACACCCCTTTTTGTGGGGCCTAGGGATAGGGGTCCCATCTGGCTCAGATCACCACTGTCCCCTCCCCACCCACAGGAGCCTTGGCTTCACAGGAGTGGAGCTGCTCCCCAGACTCTGGACTCCTACCCAGGAGCCTTCAGTTGAGGTGCTTCATTCCCACCCACACCCTTCCCTTTGTTTGAGCCACATCTCGGTGCAAAAAACAAGGCATGCTTTTAATTCTTTTATTCTTTTGTTCAACAAATTATTGAGCCCCTATGTGCTAGGTACTGCCAATCATTAGGAATTCTGTCTTGTCAAGATAAGCACACCCAAAGCACTATGTGAATGCTTTACACATCTCAAGTCATTGTCCCAGCACACAGCCCTGTAGTACTATACAGGTACTATCATTCCCATTTTACAGATGAGGAAACTGACAGCAAAGTTCTCAAAGTCTTAGAGCTGGTACAGGGAGACTGGATTTAAATCCTACCTGGCGCCAGAGTCTAGTCTTACAAAAGGGAGACTCAGGTTGTGATAAGTGCCAGAAGTATAAAACAGCAATGTGAGAGGTTGGGGGCTAATTTTAAACAACTAGAGTGTGGCCCAGGTGAATATGCATGTCACAGTGCACAGCTCTGAATTTCCATAGCTGCACACACCCGGGAGGTAAACACCCAGATCAAGAAGCAAAGGGTCCTAGCACCCCAGGATGGGTAACTGCTATCTCTATGTTTTTGTGTCTATTGTACTCAGCCTGGACCACCTCCCCCTTCCTCATCTTTCAGCCTAAACTCAAGTTATTCCTGAAATCCTCCTGTGCACATTCAGTGGGTGACACTCCCTGCTTCACACCCCTGCGTCTGCTAACAGGACCCTGAGCGCAGAGTACCCCCTTTTCCTTTCCATAACTTACTTGTCTTGCCTCTGGGCTTAGCTCCTAGAGACACGGATGGCGTCTTAGTCATCTCTGAGTCTCCCCGTACTCCGTGACCTTGGTCAATGCAGTGGTTCGCTACATGTTGAGTAGATGGCAGGGGGTTGGGCTCCTCACCTTGCTTTGGCTCTTCCCATCTCATGGCGCATTGCATTTTTGCTTCCCATTTGCCAGCCACTCATTCATCCTTCAAGGCTCAAAACAGACTTGCTCCTCTTTTGGTCCACCCAGCATTAACTCCCATTATCCCTTGGTTTTCTAAAAGCCTTTCAAGAGCTGAGGTGATTAAGGGCTCATTAAACTCTGTATCCCAATTCTTAGAGCAATGATCAACACAGAGTAAGTGCTTAATAAATGTGTGTGGGGCCGAAGGGAACATCCTCCTCTCAGGGAAGGGTAGAGGTGAAGTGAGACCATGCCCTGCAAAGCACCATCCCAGAAAGGGAACGCCTGGGTCAGCCACGGTGAGAAGATGGGATCGAGCAAGGGCCACTAGGGGGCGCTCTCACCACTATTGGGCGCTGTGATCGCTGCAAGGGTTTGAGCAGAGTACACAGTCCCAGGCAGGGGTCAGGTGTAAAGCAATGAAAATTGAGATGCCACCCCTGTTCTCCTGGAGTGCAGGCAGAAGAGATACAAATGCTATAACACAAAAATTTGGTTCCCAAATTGCTCCTTATCTCTGTGACTTCCCCAGCTGTCCTTGTCCATCCCCACCCAAAGGATTCCTTTCTCAGGATCTCATGCCTCCATTCCTTTGCACAGGCAGTTGCCTCTACCTCAAATGCCTCTTTTCCCTGGAAACTCCTACTAACTCTGTCCTCCAGCGCAAAAAGCCTTCCCCTCTCTCCCCAGGCAGAATTCATTGCTGCCTCCATTCTGTCAGGCTTACACAGCTCTGCTGAGGCGTACACACAGCCGTTTAGTAGATGTCCGCCCTCATGTGGGCAGGACTCCTCAGGGCAGGGATGGGGCCTTATTTATCTCAGCATCCCCTATGCTTGTGGATACGAGGTATCCAGCAAATGGCTGCTGAAGAAAGCAGAGGTGGTCAAACCATCGAGATTAAGAAGGTTGACTTGGGGGTGGTAAACACAATACAATATACAGATAATGTATTGTAGAATTGTATACCTGAAGCCTATATATAACTTTAATACCAATGTCACTTCCAATAAATTCAATAAATAAATAAAAAGAAGGAGGTTGAGGCTTCATGGAGGAGGTATGAAGTAAGACGCACAGGCCCTGGCTGGTGTGGCTCTGTTGCTTGGAACATTGTCCCATGAACCAAAAGGTGGTGGGTAGATTCCAAGTCAGGGCACATACCCAGGTTGCAGTTTTGATCCCAGGTCAAGGCACATGCAGGAGGCAAGCAATTGATGTTTCTTTCTCTTTAAAAAAAATCAATAAAAAGTTTTAAAAATGCAGGCTAGAAGGGTTCAATGGGGGGGAGGAGAGGGGACATATGTAATACTTTCAACAATAAAGATTTTTTAAAAATGAGATGAGCAGGTGGGTGTGGGTGTTCCAGGCATAACAAAGTCATAGCGAGCAAAAGCTAGGTGGTGGAGATTATGGATCTCGATTTGTTTGGAGACCAGCAAGCTGCTCAGTTAGGCTCAAGCACTGACAGGAGGTTGGTGGGTAGAGGCCACATTGATGGGCACTTGGGGATTTGAGCAGGTGAATGGGGTGATCTAAACTCAGCTTTAAGAAATAGACAAGTCCTGGCTGGGTAGCTCAGTTGGTTAGAGCGTCCTCCGATATGCCAAGGTTGCAGGTTTGATCCCCAGTCAGAAGCAACCAATGCATGCATAAATAAGTGGAACAACAATTGATGGGGTTTCTCTCTCTCTCTCTCTCTCTCTCTCTCTCTCTCTCTCTCTCAAATGAATAAATTAATATTTTTTTAAAGTTGAAAAAAATTTTTTAAAGGAAAAAAATGGGCAGGTAAGCAGGCCATATCACTAGAGGTCGAGCCACAGGGAGAGGAGGTAGCCATGCCCAGTAAATAAGACAGAGTCACCTATGTGAAGTACATAGAGGATGTACAGTAAAGACTAGCTGAAAGGTTGTACCTGGCAGCCTGCAATCACACTGTGACCCAAACAGTGCTTCCTTTAGTTAAGTTACCAACATTTAAAGAGTCAGGAAACTTCATTAAAAAAAAATTCTTTTCTAGCTTCTTGTGAAAACTTGGGGGACTGGCAATCAGGAACCCATATTTCTACAATAAGGCAGGTGCCAAATTCAGGTCCTCTTGAGCTAGGCAGGTGCTAACCTGCCCACAGCCCCCTCACAGCCTGCTGCTCCCGGACATCCAACTTTGGGACTCCCATCATCTTATCCCTTCCCCTGCCTTCCCCCTATTGGAGAGTTTTCACCAAAACTTATTGTCCTAACAGTTCAAATAAACACTAACAAAAACAGGATTGTTTCTCCCAAACCTATCCCTGCTCACTTAAACAAACAGCCCTGAGTGAGGAGTGGTTTGTCCTATTGCACAAGACCACTCCCTTCCCCACCCAACCACAACTAGACTAAAGCCTGGGAAGGTACTTTTCAGCTCCCCCGGGGAGCGGTTGTCATCAATAGTGCTGCCTGGAAGCCCCAAACCCGGAAGCTCAGCTTGGGCCCTGGGGGTGCCCAAACTCTCCTGCGGGCGCTGAGAGCCTGCCTGTCCTCCCACCCGAGTGGTTCCTGGGCGGCCAGCCGAGCGCCAAAACCAGGAAGACCAAGAAAATAAACGTAGAAGCCCCTTGTTGTGGAGTTAAAAAAAGACAAAACATAACAGAAATATTTTACCCAAATGTCCACCGTGTTATCTCTCATGATGAAATGACAGGTGGTTTTTGTTTTCTCCTTTTTGTCAACCTGCATTTTCTACATTTTCTACAATGAATATCTATTGCTTTTGTAATAATAATTATGTTTTGAGCAGGTATTCAGATATAGTTTAGAAAGAAACAAATCACCAGTCCATGAGACTCTGAGCTGGGATAGAAACAGTGGGGATGGAAAAGAAGCGAGCGCTGGAGGTCTGGGGAAGGGACGAATTCAAAACTTGGCACCTGGATTGGGAAGAGGGAGAACCTGAGTCAGTGGAGCCTCCGGGTTTTCTGTCCTGGGAGTCTGGATGGGTGGCAATGCCACCAACAGTAACAGGGCTGACTGCCGGAGGGCCAGCTCCAGGAGAACCAGGCAGAGGGCGAGGGGCCATCCGGTACCAGAGGAAGACTGGTTATATTGATGTTATTGCTGGTATCTTATTTTTTGTTTGCCTATGACTTGCCTTACTGAGGAAGGATTTTAAAAATATATGTTTTTTAAATTTATTTCAGAGAGGAAGGGAAAAGGAGAAAGAGATAGAAACACCAATAATGAGAGAGAATCATTGCTCAGCTGCCTCCTGCACACCGCACACTGGGGATTGAGCCCACAACCTGGGCATGTGCCCTGACCGGGAATTGAACTGTGACCTTCTGGTTCATAGGTCAACGCTCAACCACTGAGCTACACTGCGCTGAGGAAGGATTTAAAGGCAGCTTAAAGGGGACTATAAATTATGACATGAAAATAATGTAGGACCAAGAATCAAAAGAGCAAGAAGGAGCATAAAATAGGGCTAGGAACAAAGCAAAACGATGAATCTTGTAGTCGTTGGGCCATACAGTCAGCTCGGAGGGTTCCAGTTGTGGTGCATTCTCATGAGGCTCAAACACATTGGAGGTGA